ATAAGAGGATTCCCACAAAAAAAAATTCTCCCACCGGGGGTGTAGGATCACATCTCGGCTGCGATATTATGACGCATTTCTTTAGAGAATGGAAATTAATATGACTTTTTATTTAACGAAATTGTCAAACATTACTTTCTGGAAAAGGCACTTTGGATGATAATTTGAAGTATTTGAATATTTCGCGGATTCTAACAGTTCCTCACACTAGGAAATAATTTCTCTTATACCAGTTCTTTTACTGGATAAGTCGTGTGGAATTCTTTCAAAGGCCTTATTGATAAAATTGTATCATCAAAGGCAGTTATATATTGCATCAGTGATTATAAATTATTGAAGCCTTAAAGAAGACATACAAAAATAAATTAACCTATTGATTTCTATTATTTTACTAATTGATCTGAAGAGCTCTATTAGAGTTATTGGAAACAATTTTTCCATTTATTCAGTAAAATACTCGTTTGCAATAGTCTGTTGAAGAAACTAGTTAATGGTTTACCAACATCTTTCTTGCATTCATTTTCACTCTGTATCAGTTATGTAACTGTCTGAGGGCCATATTACTAGTGACCTGATTTGTACATAATACCACACTCCAGGGAAACACTCTCTGTCTTGCCATATCTCTAAGTAAACTGCATGTATCCCGAAATAATAATAATAATAATAATAATAATAATAATAATAATAATAGTAATGTTATTATTTTTATAAATATTAATATTATTATTGTATAATAATAATAATAATAATAGTAATAATAATAATAATAAATAATAATATGAATAATAATAATAATAAATAATAATAATAAGTAATAAATAATAATAAATAATAATAATAATAATAATAATAATAATAATGATAATAATAAGGGTCTTTTTTTTATCCCTGTCACAGGATTGCTTTTAAACGTTATGGCAAGTTTGTGAATCTCCAATAAGATCGTCCGTTTTCTAACAAATCGAGTAGTCATCACACCTGCACACTCTACTGAAGAATATCAAATTGATTACTCTTCTCCAACCCTGCCTCAGTCTTTTTCAATATCATCCTTCTCTCAACTAATAGAAAACATTCTTACTCCATATTTTCCATCGTTACTGTTAACCATTTCACATTCTATATTACACTTACAGTACATCCTTCTTTTGTAAGCAGATTTTAATATATCACTAGCTACCATAAAATAAGAAAGAAGGAACACTGCAGAAACCTATGGCCCGTCGATTCGTTCCCCGTTTAACCAGGACCCGTTAGTCGGGTTGCAGGTCACATCAATTTAAAGAAGGAGCATGGCATCAACCTATTAGCCAAGCTGTCGGGCCCAAAACCCACCCACCCAATCACCCATGATTTTTTAAAACTACACATCAGTTTCTATTGGGGAAACCCCGGGAGTTTTTTCCATTTCCCAACTCTGTTCCCAAAACCAGTCTTTCCTATACCCTTTCCCTGAATCTGAATTTTTCCCGGCTTAAAACCGTTGCTGCGAGCCCCTGTCTTGGCTAGGTTTTTCAGCAAGCTTTTTAATAACCCCTTTTATTTATTCTGTTTTTCTTTATACCCTAATCACACCCCCCCCAATTCTACCCCTTTTTCTAGAGAGTGCAGATTCGGGGCCCTATCTACCTCATAGGGAAAAGTTTTGATCAGGTTTTAAATTTTGTCATCCTCCTTTGTACGTTTTCCAAGCATTTTTCCATTCTGAAATTTAGGGTGCCCAAACGAGCAGCATAATCAAAATGGGCCTAACCAAAAATATGAGTTGAAGAACAACCTGGGGGACTGTTATTTATGCTTCTTGATAGAAGCAAGGATTCTGTTGCTTTATTGCGAAACTTAGCACTATTTTTTGGTTTGATTACTGCAACCAGAATTCCCAAAAATCCTTTTTCCGCAATCAGTAAATTAAACTACATTATTGTTTATATGGGCAGGGGTTTTTTTTTGGGTCCAATGTTTAGAATTTTGCATTTGTCTATTTTAAAACTGCATCTTCATTTCCCCCGACCATTGCTCAGCTATTCAAATTTCCTGGAGTGCTCTAATGTCCCGTCAAATAAATTTTTTTCAAAGCTAAAACCCTGTCCCTCCCCTTGTAAATAGGTATTACATTTTCATTTTCCATGTCTGGCACTTTTTGCCAAAGGATTGTAAGCCCCTCTCTACTTTCCCCTTTAAAACCTTTTGAAAACAGTTCTTTACGGCCTGGGGATTTGTTGGGTTTTTTTTTTTTTTAATTTTTTTTTTTTTTCTATTTGTCTGAGGACCATGTCACTATTACCTTAATCTGCTATTTTTTAAAAGTCCTGTTATATTAATTTATTTTTTCTGGAATTCGCTGCATCTTTTTGCATAAAAATTTAGGGGAAAAAAGATTTTAAAAAATTTCCACTTTCCTAAACTGTCAGGATCTGACCCGGGAACTTTGAGGCGCCAGTATTGCCCTAATCTTACTTCTAATACCTTAAAGAATCCTTTTGGATTAGCTTTTTGAATCCCCTTCCACTTTACCCCACAATCTCTTTTAGCTTTCCCTTTAAAACCTTTTTTATTTCTCTCTTTAACTGTAATTGATTTCTTAACTGCCCATCTCCTCTTTTTTTGCCTAAATATCCTGTCTTTTGATCATTTAGATTTTTTTAATTATTGTTATCCCTTTGGGATCATTTTTAGTTAAACAATTTCCTACTTGGAAAATAAGTTTTCTGGGGGACTAGAAATATGCTCTGAAAAATTTTTGCAACCCCAAAACCATCACCTGACCCATATCGGGCGTTCAAAATTTTTTCCACCCCGGGAATTTCTCAGGCCAGAAAACGCCAAACGGAAAACGGGACAGAGACTTTATTGCAGTTTTTTGGGGGAAATTTATGATATATTGAAAAAGCAATTTGTGATCGCTTTCCCAAGCTCATCATTAAACCCAAGATTATTAAAATTTTGATTCTTTTTTGGGAAGAAAACCAAATCAAGCACATTGCTTTTCTAGTTTGGGTTTTGTCACAAACTGTTTTAAAAGCAATTCGAATCGATCAAGAAAGTCACTAGACTCAAGATTTCCCGTCTCCCGTTTAATCATATTCTAAAGTTAAAATCTCCCCCTTAACACGACATTTACAATCAGATCCTTATGAAATTTTGTCCCATAGAGTTACTGTACTCCCTACCAAAATTTGGGGGGCCCATAAAAAAACTTAAAATTTAATTTTTTCACTTCCCCCCCGAAAAATGTGCCAAACAAATTTTTTGTCCAATGTTTCTAATCTTTTTCATGTCAAAACAACAAATTTTAATTATTCTGACATACATCACCATCCACCACCCTTCCCGTTGACCCTATCAGCTAATAGTTTTTTAACCCTGTATTTGCATTCAGAAGGCACTTCTCTATCTTCAGGCTGAAACAGGTATCTTTATAGCAATAAAATCTAATTACCCGATCATAAAGTAATCTTAGTCATCATTTATTTCTTATACTCCTATGTTTTGTATAAAAGGAACCTTAAGGGGGCTAGTCACTCTCTGCCTTTAGTTCCCCTCTTTGTTTTTTTATCAGATGCTTTCCTTTACTAGCAACTTAACATCAGTTTAAAGTCCTAGACAAGTCAGCAATGGCCCCCTCAATGAGTTGGCTAATGCAACCACTCCGACCCCAGAGAGATGTACCCCATCCCTTGCATACATTTCACATTTGCCATAAAATTTATACCATTTTATCAATGAATGGATTGCCAAATTCCTTTGCAGTACCTGTCTAGCCAGCAATTTTCACCAGTTACCCTAGACATCAATTCTTTGGGCCCACTACCCTTCTAGGAAAGATGCTACATATGATTGAGACCCCTCCCTTAGTCCTAATTACATCTTTTCACTGACTTGTACTTATCCAGCAGCTCTTGTCTCCTGTCCCTCTCGATATCATTTCCAACAGCACCAAGACAGATGATTGGATTATTCCCATTAACTGACATATATATTACATGTGAGTCGCCCACAACCAGAATGTTCTTACCAAGATCAGCAGGGGAGTTAGTGGGTACCTTTAACCTCGCTAACCACTGAAGTACACCCCTCCTGGAGAACAGAGAATCTATTTTCCCACCTTCAGATATTTTCTATTAAGCTTCCTTGTTACTTCTATCTTTTGTGAGAGACCACATTCCACTTGAAGCAATTGCCACTCGTCCACTCATGCTGGTAACCTTTTCTCTACACCGACTTTCCCCCCTCAGCACACTCACTCCCAAATCCATCTAGGAGAATTTTCAGCCTCCTATTTTCCTCTTGGAGAAGTAGAACCTTCTCCTTCGACACTTTAACATGAGATTCAAAACACTATTACAGCCACTATACCCATCCCCACTAATTCCCCGAGAGCTAGGACAGAATGGTCTTTCAAAGACCACTGAACTATAACTTTATTCTTGAAGAGTTCCTGTATTTTCTTGATAATAAAGCAGCCCTTTTTCAAATAATTTGAAATAAAAGAACATTATTACCTGATCATAGTTGCCAGATTCAGTAGGAGAAATTCTTTTTTGTCAGTTTTTATCATTTTTCCTTTATTGAACTTCGCTATTCTATTAAACCAATGAATAAAAATATATTATTTTAATCTTTTTCTCATATGACTCTTATGCTTGAATTTTAAAATTACTGAAACCACAGTTTGAGTCCTCAGGACTGTACCAAAGATCTCTGGGTTTCCTCTTGCAGTAGCAAAAAGGCAGTCTCCTTTACAAAGTCCATATATATATATGGAATCTTCATGTGTATCGGCTATTTAGTAAAATGGGCTGCCCCGACCCGGGGTTGAACCGGGTACCTTTAGATCTTCAGTCTAACGCTCCTCCCAACTGAGCTATCTAGGCGTTGTCTGATTAGGCCACAAACTCGCTTATATATCTCCTTATCTCTGTTTGGATTTATTTAGTATAGTATGCCCGTGTTTGAACATTTTGTATTATTTGGAAGGGTTTTTCCCCTTAGCCAAGAAATTTTTCACGTGGTTACCTGTAAAATTTACAGTACAGCATCACTAGCTGAAAGAAAACTTTGTTAATAGCACTCCTATATATCTCTGTCTTCAACAACTGAAACAACCCCCCTCAACTTACAGTGGCTACGCTATCGCCCAAAGACCCAGAAAGATGTACCCTTCCCTTAATAAACAAAGCATGTTTGATCCCGAAATCGTAATGACTCGATTGTAAAGAAACCATACCATATACTATGTGGGAAACCATGTTTCCATAGGAATTACTGTCTCCCAGTTAGAGACCAAGCATTTTCATGTCAGTTCTTAGGCTTGTGAAATGCGTGATCTCCCCCCGAAATGTTTTTTTCAATGAATTTTTTCCCTTTTGCCAGTGTCTTGTTATCAGCCTGTCGGAGTTCACCCTCCTCTACGTTATTCACAAATATTTAACATTAGATGAAGCAACTTGAATATTTTTCAAAGCAGAAACAGGTCTTTCTCTCACTACTTTTGTTTGTACATATTTCTCATTCTATATAATTTTCTTTTATTTCTTTTATTTTTTTCCTTTTCCTCCTTTACTGCATAGCTCTTTTCCCTTTCCTCACTTTCTCCTTTCTCACATTTCTCTTCCTTCTTTGCTAGACTTCACTTATTCACCTAGATAATTAACTATTTCTCAATTTAGATAACAGTAAACTACTTCGTATCAGATAGTCTCGGTTTGAATTTCTAATAATCTTTCACTTGTAGCATTATTGAAAAAAAAGATACAAGCAATTATTACATGTCTAATTATTTACATACAAAAAAAAAAGACAACTACTGCATTAGTGACTAGTAAATCAACCAGCCTCTACTAAGTCACCCGAAACAATAATATCACCTGTAAACAAACAATTGATCTCCCCTAAAATTTCCTGGTGGGCAAATGGGAAAGCAATGATTACATTCAGGAAGCGTCTCTCTCTCGCGCTAAGCAGACGGAGGACCAAGCCTCTTGGTCTTGCTGAATAATCCACATTGGGTTTAGCGCATAATTACACACCACACACACACAACACACACACACACACACACACACACAACACACACACACACACACACACACACTTAAAATTATATATTAAGAGAAGTTGCAGAGATTGGTGGATGAATTTGGTAGGTATGCAAAAGAAGAAAATTAAAAGTGAATACAAGAAAGAGTAAGGTTATGAGGATAACAAAAGATTAGGTGATGAAAAGATTGGATATCAGATTGGAGGGAGAGAGTATGGAGGAAGTGAATGTATTCAAATATTTTGGGGGTGGGCGTGTCACAGATGGGTCTATGAAAGATGAGGTGAATCATAGAATTGATGAGGGGAAAAGGGTGAGTTTGGGGCACTTTGGAGTCTGTGGAGACAAAGAACTTTGTCCTTGGAGGCAAAGAGGGAATGTATGAGAGTATAGTTTTACCAACGCTCTTATATGGGGGTGAAGCATGGGTGGGTGAATGTTGCAGCGAGGAGAAGGCTGGAGGGAGTGGAGATGTCATGTCTGAGGGCAATGTGTGGTGTGAAATAAATGCAGAAATTCGTAGTTTTTTGGAAGTTAGGAGGAGGTGCTGGATTACCAAAACTGTTGTCCAGAGGGCTGAGGAAGGGTTGTTTAGGTGGTTCGGACATGTAGAGAGAATGGAGCGAAACAGAATGACTTCAAGAGTGTATCATTCTGTTTGTGGAAGGAAGGCGGGGTAGGGGTCGGCCTAGGAAAGGTTGGAGGGAGGGGGGAAAAGGGGGTTTTGTGTTCGAGGGGCTTGGACTTCCTGCAGGCATGCGTGAGCGTGTTTGATAGGAGGGGAATGGAGCAAATGGTTTTTAATACTTTACGTGCTGTTGGAGTGTGAGCAAAGTAACATTTATTAAGGGTTCAGGGAAACCGGCAGGCCGGATTGAGTCCCGGAGATGGGAAGTACAGTGCCTGCACTCTGAAGGAGGGGTGTGTTAATGTTGCAGTTTAAAAAATTGTTAGTGTAAAGCCCCTTCTGGCAAGACAGTGATGGAGTGAATATGGTGAAAGTTTTTCTTTTTCGGGCCACCTGCCTTGGGTGGGAATCGGCCAGTGTGATAATAATAAAAATATATATATTTTAACAAGTCGGCGTCTCTCACCGAGGCAGGGTGACCCAAAAAGAAAGAAAATCCCCCCAAAAGAAAATACTTTCATCATTCAACACTTTTACCTCACTCACACATAATCACTGTTTTTTCAGAGGTGCTCAGAATGCAACAGTTTAGAAACATATACGTATAAAGATACACAACATATCCCTCCAAACTGCCAATATCCCAAGCCCCTCCTTTAAAGTGCAGGCATTGTACTTCCCATTTCCAGGACTCAAGTCCGGCTATATAAAAATAACTAGTTTCCCTGAATCCCTTAACTAAATATTACCCTGTCACACTCCAACAGCTCGTCAGGTCCCAAATACAATTAGTCTCCAGTCACTCCTATCTAACACGCTCATGCACGCTTGCTGGAAGTCCAAGCCTCTTGCCACAAAACCTATTTACCCCTCCCTCCAACCTTTTCAAGGTCGACCCCTACCCCGCCTTACTTCCCCTTCGGATTTATATGCTCTCCATTTCATTCTAATTTGATCCACTCTCTCTAAATGACCAAACCACCTCAACAACCCCTCTTCAGCTCTTTGACTAATACTTTTATTAACTCCACACCTTCTCCTAATTTCCACACTCCGAATTTTCTGCATAATATTTACACCACACATTGCCCTTAGACAGGACAACTCCACTGCCTCCAACCGTCTCCTCGCTGCAGCATTTACAACCCAAGCTTCACACCCATATAAGAGTGTTGGTACTACTATACTTTCATACATTCCCTTCTTTTCCTCCATAGATAACGTTTTTTGTCTCCACATATACCTCAACGCACCACTCACCTCTTTTCCGACTGTGTTAATATCTCCCATACTGTTGTTATGGTGGTGGCTGCCACAACCTGGCCTGTACGACTGTGTTAATGTCTCCCAACTGTTGTTATGGTGGTGGCTGCCACAATCTGGCCAGTAAGACTGTGTGTTAATGTCTCCCATACTGTTGAGTCAAAAAAATCAGTTCAGCCAGATATTATCATCAGTTTAACTTAACACCTTAAAAACTGAGATTAAATTAAGGATACTTAGTGTTTCATATATATTCATAGTGTAAAATATACCATGATTCGTATATTACATACTTGGCAATGTAAAGGAATATCGAGAGATTATCAAAGAGGCAAGCTAACCACCTTGTGGAACACCTATCATAGTTCGTTTTTGGCCAAGAGATGGCATCTCTCGTGATGTACATTTTATATTCGTCACAAGCAAGTTTTTATCGTGTGTGTGGCAGGAAATGTTTTCCCTGCCAATATAGAGGAGGTGAAAGAAGTGATTGTGATATGTGAGTAGGACAAACCTCTCAACTTCGAACTAGTCTTGTCTTCTATTTTCTTGACATATTTGGCCATGTGTGGGTTCCATATTGTCATTGTATACTCCAATATAGGTGTGAGGTACAAGGAGTACAGTATCGTGAATGACCAGTACAGTTCAGAAAAGTAACAAAGAAGACCAGTATGTTAATGAACAATATGAACAATACAGCTATTCGTTTGTTTATTATGTTAGCTAAGTGGGCATATTGTCAGGAGGCTGGAGTGGAAATAACACCACCGTGACTAATGTCAGGGAAGCGGGTGACGCTTTTCAACAATAATAATTGTAATAGTTAATAATATTATCACAATTAATAATAATGATTTATAATTATAATTAATTATAAAACAATATATAATATAATAAGGAGATTTGCGACCACTGTCAGCCTCAGATTATCTCTGATTACCAACCTTGCCACGTGGAGGCCAGTGGTTCGTCTTTAAGGTCCCCACCCTCTCGCCTTCCTAGGTTCATGTGTCCAGGAAATCAATCCCTGGGCCCCGGATGTCTCCCCTTCTTCCTTCCCGTCTCTGTGTTCTCATCTCTGCTTTCCAGCCCCAGCCTTCCCAGGTTTATGTATCCAGGAATCCATCCGTCCGCCTCCGGATGTTTTTTTCCTTCTTCACTTCCCTAAGGTCAGCCTCACCCACCTGTATTCTTGCTTTCCCCAGGTTCATGTGTCCAGAATCTATCCGTCCGCCGCCGGATGTCTCCCCTTTCCCACTTACCCAAGGTCAGCCTCAACTCCTAGTATTCATGCCTTCCTCAGCTTATGTATCCAGGGAAACCATCCGTCTACCGCCGGGTGTCTTCCCTTCCCACTTACCCAAGGTCAGCCTCAACTGTATTATTCATGGGTTTCCCCAGGTTCGTGTATCCAGGAATCCATCCGTTCGCTCCCGGGTGTCTTCCCTTCCGCACGTCCCGAAAGTCAGCCTCAACATCAACCTTCCCCAAGTTCATGTATCCAGGAAACCATCCGTTCGCTCCCGGATGTCTTCCCTTCCACATTACCTTAGGTCGGCGGTGCCCTTCCCCCGGGTCAGTGGGCTCCGGAGTCCACTTGTCACCTGAGTGGACTCCATTCCCCCCTTCCCCAACTCAGGGTTGCCACCTTCAGTGACCTTGCTGCATGGAAACTTGGTCTTGTAGATGGATGGTTCAGAGAACCGACATGTTGATAAAATTAGACACATGTGAATTCTTGGGGTATCTTTATTGAGGAAACTTTTCGCCACCCAGTGGCTTAAATCAGTCCATACGTAGGATAAACTTGAAGAACAGGAGGGAATGAGGTAATCAGTCCCCTCAACCTTGAGTCGATGTGTTCAGTCCATCAATCTTGAGTAGAATACGGCATATGAGCGGAGAAAGCAGCTTATAAACCGTTATGGCGGGAGAGGTGT